TGACTTTGTCACCTCTAGAAATCACAGAGACCTGCATACCACACTTGCAGCTGCGGAAGATATCTCAAAATATCATTGGCTCTCATCGCCGTTTCAAAAGCTTTATATTAAACCTGCTGTAAAATCTTATGTAAATTGTTAATAAAGGAGCACATATGCTACTGCATGACACATTTTTAAAATGTTTTGGTAACAGGATTGCAATGTAATTGACTTCCTTTGTCATTCTGTGTGTTTTATTTTATGCATGTAAAAATATTATTCTAAGAAGAGGTCCCGTAGGTTTCACCAGACTGACAAGGAGTCCTTGGCACAAAAGCGGTTTAGACCTCACACAACCAGTCCTCGTCATTATCATTGTTAATATCATCAATCCACTCAGGATCAATATAGAAAACCAGGGCGATCTTTCTAAAAGCTAAGCCAGATCAAGATATTTCCTCCTTTAAACATGAAACAAATGCAGACTCCTAGCTTTCACTAACTTGGCCCTCCAGGATCTGATTTTACCCTGCTCATGTCTCCTTCCATGGTTTCAAACTCCTCTATCCCCTGCTCTCTGCTCCAGGCATGCTAGCCTCCTTCCATTTCTTTGAAATGTCCAAGCCATTTCCTACCTTAGGGGCTGTTGCCCTCTGCCTGGAATGCCTGTTTGTAAAGCAGCCACTCGGTTCCCATGCTCTAGTGATAAGCTAGGACATTGCCTCCACAGAGAAGCCTTCCTACCAAACGGCAGCCCTCCCCTTTCCCACCTGTGCTCACTTCCTGATTACACCCTTAAGAGCACTTATCTGAAAGGACTGATGTTATTTTTTTTGTTCACCAACAGACTTATATTTTTTTTGTTCACTACTGAACCGCAGCATCTAGTGAGTTACCTCACACCATGTAGAAACCTGATGTTCACTGAATGGACGAATGAAAAGCAGAATAAGTCAATGAGGAAATTGAGGCTCAGCGATGTTAAAATATTTTTCCAAGATCACTCAGTGGCAGAGTTATTATTTTAACTGAGATCCTAGGTCTCCCCCTCATCCCTCCATCATTGTCCGCTACATTTCCAACAATCTGTGGAAAGCCCAATGGACCCAATATAAGTTTTTATGGCAGGATTTCTTGAGACTTCAGCGCCCCATCGCTCACGCATATCTGCCTAAGCACTCCTCAGAGCTATTCCAGGAAGACCAAGTTAAATAAAAATACATTGCCTGGAGAGAGGGATTCTCTGTCCCTTGCTACATACACGTACATCTTTTTCTTATATCTGAACATTGTAAACATAAACAACAAAAGCAAATAAAAGGAAAAAAAATCCAGAAAAGGGTAAACTAAGAAAGAAATTAGATACACCCAGGGGAAACATCTACACATAAAAATAGATCTGATAAGGTATTGTATGCTACCTTATGTGGACCACAATTCTAGCCATACACTCCCTAGTAGCCAACACAAAGTGAAGAACAGAATCAGTTACACGCCATACTTTGAAGAGTTTTGAAATTCGATCCTCAGGAGTTGCACAACTATTTCTGTCTCTACATTCTGAGAGCAATTCCTCTTGTGGATCTTTAGAGTGAAAGGTAGGATATAGTAGTCAGCTTTCTAAACTACAGACCTTTTAAATAAACATATCAAGCTTACAGAGAGGTGTCTTATAGTATGCCTTAATAGAGGTGGCAGTTACAATGCCAAAACCTATCCACCATTGTATTGCCTTGCTATTCAAAGCATGCTCTATAGACCGGCAACATCAGCGTCTCCAAGGAACTTGTAAGAAATGCAGCGCTACAAGATCTGCAGGTGATTCCTATGCACATTAAAGTTTAAGAAGCACTGCTTTATTGGTTGAGCTTAGGCCAAGGGAAAAAAAAAAAAACTGTAAGAAACTATAATTCATTCATTCATCCATCCATTTAACAAAATATTTACTAAAACTTTTGCAGGAGGAAACGATTTCTTTAAACTTGACAGCAAAACCACCACCATAAAGGAAAATACTGATAAATGGGACACCATTAAAATTGAGTGATATTTGCAAACACACACAGATCTGGGTATCTAAAAATATATGGGGCAGTCTTGACAAGGAACATCAATGAGACCAAAAATGTCTACCCTTATGGAGCTTACATTCTAATCGGTGAAGACAAAAATAAACAATTTAAGTAAAACGAATCAGGCAAGCGGGATAAGTTAAGGGTGGGGCTGCAATTTTAAATAGGGTAGTCAGAAAAGGCCTCATTTGAGGAAGTAAAGACCTCTAGGAGGCCAGGCACAGTGGCTCATGACTGTCATCCCGGCACTTTAGGCGGCTGAGGCGGGCAGATCACTTGAGCCCAGGAGTTCCAAAACAGCCTAGGCAACATGGCGAAACTCTGTCTCTAAAAAAATACAAGAAAAAGTTGCCGGGTGTAGTGGCGCATGCCTGTGGTGTCACCTACTTGGGAAGCTGAGGTAGGAGGATCACCTAAGCCCAGGAGGTCGAGGCGACAGTCAGCCATGGTTCCACCACTGCACTCCAGCCTGGGTAACAGAGTGAGACCAGGTCCCAAAAAGAAAACAAAAGCAAAAAACAACCCTATACAGGGTTAGACATCTAGCTATAGATATCTAGGGGGAGTGTTCCAAGTAGAAAGAACTGTCAGAACAAACACCCTGAGACAGGAAAGTAACTAAAACAGTAAGATGGACAGCGCGGTTGAAGAAGAGTGAACAAGAAGTAGAGTAGGTGTGTAGGAGGCTAGATCATCTGGAGCCTTCCCGGCTAATTTTGAGAATCATAACTTTAGCTGTGAGATGACAAGCCACTGGAGGAAAAGGAATAGGGAGCCATTGCAGTATGTCGAGCAGGGAAATAACATAATGAAAAGTGTCTTTTGAAATACTGGTTTCTTAGAGGTGGATGGAATGGCTTGTGTGGGAGATTCTAGCTCCAAGTATCTTGCACCAATTCCAATATATGGTGATTCAGTCCTTCAACTACGTATCAGGTGGCAAAGATGTGCCAAGTAATGTGGTGAGGATCTAAATTAGAGTGATAACCGAGGGAACTGCCAGAGGAATGTGAATACAAATGACGTCGGAGGGAAAGAAACCCAGGACATACTGACAGATTATTTATCGAAAAATGACACAAATTCGCAATTCGATTTAATCAAGGTTTATGGATCACCTACTGAGGGCAAAGCCCTGTGCTGGCTAGGACTTGCGGGGTGGGGATGGAGTATAAAACTTGTGCTTTCCCCTCAAAGGGCTTCCAGCCTGGCGTGCTTAGCCCCTGCGCTATGCCTTTCAAGCCACAAAGTCTTGAATTGCCACAGCTGCAGCTGGCACGGGAACTAACTGGTTTGCTCAGGTTAAGAGCTGGTGGTGGTTGTTTTTTTGTTATCCCTGAAGCTTGTTCCATCTCCTGGGAGCAGGGGATGGGACCCTGCACCTCAGCTCGGTCAGTACAAAAAAATAGGCCTGGTTTGGCGGGAGGGTAGAAGGGAGGTCTTAATAAATGTCTTTGTGGATCAGTGTTGCGGACTGGCCCAAACCACCAGTTTTGGGGCAGAGTCCTTCTGGTCTGCTTCCACCTGTGTGACCTGGTGGTCAGGCACCCTTCCCATTCCATTCTAGACAAAAGGGCTGAAGGCATGGAAAGAGGAAGAGGCAAGATTAAGGAAAGCAATTGGGAAAAAAAAAATGTTTTTTGAAAATCCCCGGCTGCCAGACTACAAGGCGAGGGGAGCAGATGCAAATGCAATGCAAATGATATGTAAATATCTCTGTGGCCTTCTAAAAGGTTTTCTACAATGGGAAGGGCATTTGAAAAACCGCTGGCAGTTAACAGTGACTCAGAAGCAGAGCGAATTATTTCAAGACAACTCTGACACAGACCTTCACTGCCCAGCTAACAGGGTGCACATTGTTTAGTAATCTTTTTTCTCACTTGAATCAGCCTCACCTGCTATAAATAATAAGAATTGAAAAACCCTGTCTGCCTCTGCAAAGGTTATCGAGGTTAATTACTCGCTTAAAACACTCTATATACCTGTAATTTTTCTTCAAACGCCTTTCTCACCTAAATAAAGCCGAGTTAAAAGTGTCCCTTCCTGCCTAGAGCAATACTTGGCTCCAGTGGATTATGAATGAAAGAGCCTCTCTCATTTCTAGTTACTATGATCCCTCAGAGTTTTGTTCTTTTTCCTACTCCACAGGAACTGGCATGTTCTGTTCTAATAACCACATGCTGATTTCAAAGTGAGTCCAGGAAAAACTCTGTATGTGAAAACCAACTCACTTTTTTTTTTAGGAGCCGCTGTCAAGTTGCTCACCAAGAAAAGCTGCCCGGTCAAGAAAGCTGTGGTCTTGCCCATCCTAAGCAAATATTCTTAAATGAAATAATGGACGTGCAACCACAATGGGGTACATTTCCGTCTACATTTATGTACTTTTAAAGGGGACACTCCTACCAGATACGCATTTAGTATGAGCCATGGGTTGAACTGAAGAGTAAGCAAGACAGTAAACACATCAGCCACACTGCTGAGCAGTTATACTTGGTTACAGACCCAGGGCTCCAGAAGCAACTTGCGTCCACATCGGCCCCCAAAAGTACCCTTACTTCCTGGCCCTGTAACATTCGAGGGTGCCTCAGCTTTTGACAGCAGAGTCCAAGGAAAGGAAATCCCTTCCATTTCTGAGGTTTTCATCTTACTTGAAAGGGCCACACTGCCATCCCCCAGAAAGCTGACAGGCATCTGCATCAAAACAGCGGCAGAGTGCAGAGACACCGAATCTCGACAAACCAGAGGCTGAGGACAGACAGGAAAGAAGACGGACAGAAGCAGGAGACAGACCTCAAGGGACTGAAGAAATACATGGCAGCGCCAGAGGAAGAGTAACAAAGAGAAGGAGAGCAACCCGGGGCAGTGCGGCTGGAGCCAGGGAGTCCCGGGAAGGGAGGCCGCCGGGCAGGCGGCGAGCGCCCTCCCGCAGCCGGGGTTACCTCTTACCTCCTGGGCGAGTTTCTGCTTGAGCACCAGCGCGGCACACAGGTAGCCCGCGCGGCCGACGAACAGCTCGTCCGAGCCGCACTCCAGGAAGGAGACCGGCGCGCAGACGGCGCACAGAGCCCGGAACTTGCCCAGCGGCTGCACGTAGTCGGACCGGCCCAGGGCGTGGTACACGAGCGTGGCCACAGCGTACACGCCCGCGCCCCCGAGCAGGAAGGCAGCGCGGGTGTCGGCGTCCGGCTCGCCCCACTCCTCAGCGCGGGCGCACGCGTCGATGAGGCGCTTAGCCGAGCGCAGGTAGCGCTCCCGGGCGGTGGCGAAGAGCGGGCTCTGCGAGACGTGGTAGAGCATATAGGCTACCCCGGCCACGCCGCCGTAAAGCCCCCCCTGGCAGCCGCTAGCCCCGGCCGTCGCGCCTCGGCCCTCGGCGCCGCCCCCGAGAGGGGGAAGCTCCTGGAGAATGCGCTCGATGGTGGCGGTGACCAAGGGCGCCACCGCCTCCTCACACTGGCCCGCCAGCAGGCTGCCCTGGTAGTCATCGAAGCGATTGGCGAAGCAGCGCTTGGAGTCCATGCTGTCGCCCGTGCCCCCTAGTGCTAGTGCGGAGCTAAGGACCGCTCGAGGTCGCGCCCTGCAGCCCCGCACACCACCTCCGGCTCTGAGGCGCTCACTCGGATGGCGGTGCCTGCGGCGGGGACGGAGCGAGAAGGGTGAGACGGGAGGTGACAAGAGGAGGCGGGCAAGGAGCGGATGGATGGCCAAGTGGGGCGCTGGGCTGCCGCGAGGCTCCCGAGCGGCCCCGGCGATCGCGGGGGATGCGTACAGTGCGCCCCCCTCTCAGAGGCCGCGCCCTCGCCGAACCCGCCCCCTCCTGCGCCGCCGCAGCTCGGCTGCCTCTCCAAGGGGCCGAGGCGATCTCTGGCAGGACCCACGCGGTGCCCCGCGCCACTCCTCCCGCTCCGCCCCCGGCTCCTCCCCTCCTGGCGGAAGGCCGGGGACGTGCGGGACACCGATCTGGAACGCCGAGACTCAGCATACACACACCTGGCGGCGGAGGTGACGATCTCCAGTCCCTTGGACACTGACAGTGTGGTCCTTGGCTTAGAACATCCTATAAGCATGTGAAAAACGCAGCATCTCCGGCTTCGCTCCAGACCTGCTGAATCCAAATCTGAATATTTAGCAAGGTCTCCAGGTGATTCGCATGCACATTAAAGTTTGAGGAGCCACTGAACTAGGCTTGAGTACCAGGAAAAACCTGGGCGCCGCCTTTGAAGTTTGTATTTCATCGTGGTCGCTTCGGAGTTCTCATTATGAATGCTTCAATCCCAAAAGCTGGGGCATTTGAGCACATCGTGTTGAATGCATTGAAAATGTGAAATACCCCATACGGAAACGTTTTTCCTAGCTCTGTTTTTCGGATTGTTTTCTTAGAGTACACAGGAGTAAAATCTCAAAGAAACACACCAGGTTAAAGCAAGGAAGGGGCATTCCCCTCCTGCGGTGCGTGCATTGTAAAGGCTCAATACATATCTAGGGGTCATTAACTACTTGATATTAGGATAAACGCTATGTGAGAATTTAACTAGGCATTATATATATATATATGTATATATATGGAGTTTCGCTCTTGTTACCCAGGCTGGAGTGCAACTGCGCGATCTCGGCTCACACCGACCTCCGCCTCCTGGGTTCAAGCAGTTCTCCTGCCTCAGCCTCCCGAGTAGGTGGGACTACAGGCGTGCACCACCACGCCCAGCTAATTTTTGTATTTTTAGTAGAGACGGGGTTTCACCACGTTGACCAGGATGGTCACGATTTCTTGGCCTCGAGATCCACCTGCCTCGGCCTCGCAAAGTGCTGGGATTATAGGCGTGAGCCACCGCGCCCGGCTAATTAGGCTTTTTATCTCCTCCTTGCTTCCCTTCTTTCCCAGGTTTGTTCTCTTCTGCTTTTGTCCCATGGGCATTATGAAGGGTCTACTGTGTGTCCTGAAACCTGCAAATAGATGGATGAACAAGATAGACATGGTCCCAGACCTCTGGGAGCTTACAATTCAGTAGGAAAAACAGAAAACGAACAATTATGCAAGCTAGTTGCCTTTCTTGTGCTCAGCTGTTTGAAATAATTCTGCCTTTCCCCAACTGTTGACTCTTGAAGACTAAAGACTTGGTCACGTCTCCCAGGAGTATTTGCATTTTGATAGGGACTGAGCAAGACACAGAAGAGTCAGTGGCTTATAGAACAGTTTCTGATTCTTTGTGGGGAGAGGAACTATTTCACTTACTTGAAAGGCCAGTTTGGAGGCATTCTTTTTTTTTTTTCCTCAGAAGTGTTAAATGTCACCGAAATTGGGAATCGGAAATTAAATTCCCTGCCCCTCCATCCTTACTTTATGTAGTCTGGGAAAGAACCTTAGTTTGCCAGCATGACTGCCAGGACTGACACGTCCACATATTTCAAGGACAGTATGGCCATCATCCCCCTTTGATCCTGCCAAAACAGGTTTATTTTTAATAATAATAATAATAATAATAATAATACAAAAAAGTCCACTTTAGGCAGGGAGCTCGATATGTTAAGGGAAGGAAAGGCATCAAAGAAGCAACAGGAATGTTGAGTTTCTTCTTGACACTTCCTTCCTTATCCCTCGACCATGACAGGCATTAGTGGTGACTTTTGTCCCCTCAGAGAAGGAAACATAAGATCCTTTACTGGCAGAAATGAAGCCTTATTCCACTTCATTCCTCCACACTTCATCACCTTGTCACGAATCTAGAGGCAACTCTATTAATTCTGACTCTGATTATTCTTCCAACCACTCCAGCCTGGAGGTAGCACCAGCAACAACAACAGGGATCTGCTAACTGTCTTCAAAATAGAACTGTATGTAAACACGTCTCCAGGAAAAGGCACTCTTCTGCTTTTTCCCAATTGTGTCATCTATTGCCCCAAAATGCTGTATAACAAGCAATCACAAAATCTTATAGCAGATGACAGTCAGTTTAATGTTCATGCATCTGGGATCTTGGCAGGGCTCATTCAGGTATCTGGAGGTGGGTTGGGTCTGGCTTGGGGAGAGTGAGGTGACTGGGCTCTGGCTCATGTCTCTTGTCTTTTAGCTGCCCAACGCCAGCAAGCTTGCCTGCCAGTGGCAGAGGGGCTAAAGCAAAAGCAGAGGCATGCGAGACTTCTGAGGGTGTGGGCTCAGGACACACACTTTTGTCTGCCTTAGTCTGCTGGCAAATCACATGAGGAAATATAGGGTGTTTTTGTTGAACGTCAAAGTTGCATGACAAAGGGTATGGATCCAGGGTTGGGTGAAGTATTAGGGTTCTTTGAAGCCCCACCTCCAATAGTCCTACACTTAATTGCATGCAGTGTAATGTATTTTAATATCATTACTCCACTAGGATATGCTCTGCATGAGGGTCGGGCTTTTTCTTGCATTTATTGACTGATAAATAACAGCCTAGGGTAGTCTCTGACTATTCTACTACTACTACTGCCACTACTACTATATGTAGGAGATATTTACTTAAAGCTAATGAATTAATAAGTGAATTACCATGAGAGAATTAAGGTACCCTGAAGTATACAATACAGAGTGAGGCCTTTTTTGAAACCTTAACCTGACTTGTTTAAACTCCTCCTATATTCTTGGATCCTTTTGCTCTTGTGAGCAGAAGAATGTAAACATTTTGCAGTTTCTGCTCTTATTTTGCCTGTTTCTCTACAAGATGCGGTGACCTCTGTACTCTACCTTGAATTCAGGGCCTTCACACCTTCTACTTTTGCCAACTCACCCTGTCTGGCAGCTTATATTTTTCAAATATGACCACGACAATATCTCCTCTGCCACATGTTCCTCTACAATCAATGTGACCTCGACATTCCTCTCATCAGGAGGCAGGTACAGGTAACCTCTTCTGGGTGGGCTTATATCTCATTTGTAACCAATAGAATGTGATGGAAATAACAGTGTGTGACATCCAAGGCTAAATTATAACAAGTAATGCAGCTTCCATCTTTAATGTTGCAGCACTCACATTTGGAGCCTTGTAAGAATCTGACTGCCCTGCAGCTGCCTTATTGGGAAGAAGCCCAGACAACATGAAGTGGCCACTTGGAAGTGCTTGGATTGACAGCTCCAAGACACCATCAGCTGACAGCTATGTGAGTAAACCACTTTGGATATATCCAGCCCAGTCAATCCTTCAGATTACCACCATCCCGTAACATTCCAGAATTCCTGACCCAAAAAATTATAAACAAAAATGTAGTTGTTATAAGCCTCTAATTTTAGGATAATTTGTTATGTAGCAAGGTAACTGGAATTTCCGGCTAGCTTCCTACAATCCAATGCTGTGGAAGTCCCCTCTAATCAACAGTCTACACTCAACAGGGTAATGAGCAGTTAGGAAGATAAATATTTTAGAGAAATCTGGAATACACAGATGTATGCACGAACCCAAAAAGTTGTGTTCCAAAATAACAATTCTAGTTGGATTCTTTAGAAGTAGTGATGACCCCACAAGAAATATGCAGTCTATACAAAATCTTGCTAAGGCCATTTATTTTACCCTTATCTGCAACATTTGTCCTGATAGTCACAGAGTTTCTCGCAGCATTTGCTGACAGGCAGCTCCCAACACATGTTCCTGTGATCTTGCTGAATTGCTCAGTTCCAAGTTCTTCTTCAGTATATCTTTATTATGCAGATTATGCAAAACTGTGGATGGAAGAGAGTATTAGTGGGTTCATCAAGTAAAAATTATGCAAAACTATCCAGAAAAGAAAGCATTAAAATCAGGGTTTCTCTTATGCAAATTGTTCCTATCTATGGTGAATATGGAAAAAAAAAAATCAGTAACTGTGTAACTGTCTGACCTTACCAATTAAGTTTTAATACATTTTATGGGATAATACATCTTAGAAATGCTTTCAAAAAGTTTTCCAATGCTTTGCTCAGAGGGTGCATCCTAGAAATGCTTCAGATAACTGAATAGTGCTTTGTTCATTGCTTATAGCATATTCTCTGTGGAGACTCATCCCTATTTTATTAGATTAACAACATAATTGGAAACATTTCCCTGGTTCTGCTCTTTCCTTAGCAATTTTCTCTCCTTGGAATACTCTTCAAAAAGTTTTCTCATGGCTTGCCTCTTCATTTCTCTCTCAATGAGGTTTTCTCCAACTTATTTGTTTAAAGTTACTACCATTACACCAACCCTTAGTATCTAACAACTATATATTTTACTTATTTATTTTGTTTCCCATCTATTTCTCTCCACTAAAATTTAATCCGCATAAGAACAGGAATTTTTGTCTGTGTCGTTTCCTCTTGTATCCTCAGCATGTAGATCTATGCCTGACACATGATATGTGCTCGGTAGATATTTATCAATGTCTGTGATGCTCTTCACAATGTCAAAATTTTCTATCCATCCTTGGCTGAGCTTTGCTGTCTGCCTTCCTGATCAGTTGCTTGATGATATTCTTCTGCCATAAGCAGCGATAAAAACGTGCACTCTAACATGGGACTTGATGCTCTTTATTGTCTTTTTTGCCCCTCTACTTCCAGTTTTATCAATTTAGAGCACTTTGTTAGCCTTATAGTCTAAGCATGATCTCCAGTACACATGTAATCCCAGAAGTCAAAGCCACCTGAAATAAGCAAACAAAGTGGCACTCTCCACTCCCCCTCAAGGAGGGGCAGCCCAGTTTGATTGGGTCACAATGGCCAAGAATGAGCAACGGTGCACACCCTAGCTTACTGGATATGAATAAAGTATATGTCACTTATACCCTTGGGTATTACAATGTGTATGTATGGATGAGTGATTTGAATGAACTATGATAAAACATTACTGTATGGGACA